GTTGTGTTTTGTTTCATTCACACATGTTTAACACGCAAACCTGCATTTTTACTCTGAGTTCTTCTCTCAAAATGGAAACACTCCACCTTGTGATGTCATGTGGTAATACAGGAAGTGCTCCACGGTGTTTTTAAACTCCATACACCTTCACTAGAATCATGAGCTGAAATTATCAAAAGGTAAAAGGTAGCTGTTAACTTGAAAATTTAGAAATATATGACATCATAAGGTGGAATAGAGCGTTCTGAGCAATGTAAACAGAATGAAACAAAACACAACTCAAGGTATGTTTTTGACGAGGTAACGACATTATAAACTCACAAGATTCAATTTTGTGTAATATAGGAACTTAAAAATATTCCCACTTGAAAACATATGGTGTATCCTAAAATATATTCTTATTTAGAGCATCTGTCTGTATTGTTTTGTTTGCGTATTCGAGTCTATGCGGCGTGTTTACTTGTGTGTCAGCTCGCTTCTCTGTGCGCAGATGGATGTGGGAGTGTGCAAGAAGCCTCCAGCTCGCTACAGTGACAAGAGCCGCTACCACAGGCTCTATGGAGGCTCAGCTCGGACTAGATCAGGTAAAATGGACTCCTGACTGTAAACAAGACATCAGCATATGTTACGATCAAACTAGGTTCATGTGATGCAGTGTGAGACCGTGTGGGAATGATCAGAGTCTGAGTTATGATGAAGCAGGAATTTCTTACAGAATCTACCAATTTTGCGAACAACCTTGTAATTTTATAGGTTTATATTGATGTAACCCGTGTGCAACTGAAATAGGACAAAATATTGCGTATTGTTGCATGGAACTATTCTGCAAAGTACTGAACCAGGACTGGACCAGGACTGGACCAGGACTTAGACCAGGACTAAGCCAGGACTGGACCGGGACTGGACCAGGACTGGACAAGGGTTAAAGCAGGACTAGACCAGGACTAGACCAGGGCTAGACCAGGACTAAGCCAGGACTGGACCAGGAACTGGACCAGGGCTAAACCAGGACTAGACCAGGACTAAGCCAGGACTAAACTAGGACCAGACCAGGACTAAACCAGGACTGGACCAGGACGAAACCAGGACTGGACCAGGACTAAACCAAGACTAGACCAGGACTAAACCAGGACTAAGCTAGGACTAAACCAGAACTAAGCCAGGACTAAGATAGGACCGGACCAAGACTAAACAAGGACTGGACCAGGGCTAAACTGAGACTAAACCAGGACTAAGCCAGAAATAAACCAGGACTAAGGGAGGACTAAGCAAGGACTAAGATAGGAATGGACCAGGACAAAACCAGGACTGTACCGGGACTAAGACAGAACTAAGCCAGAACTAAACCAGGCCTAAACCAGGACTTAAACCAGGACTAAACCAGGACTAAACCAGGACTAAAACAGGACTAAACCAGAACTAAGCCAGAACTAAGCCAGGACTAAGTCAGGACTGGACCAGGACTTTACCAGGGCTAAACCAGGACTAAACCAGAACTAAACCAGAATTGGACCAGGACTAAACCAGGACTATACCAGAACCAAACTAGGACTAAATCAGGACTAAACCAGGTCTATACCAGGACTAAAGTAACATATTAAAGTCTGAGATTAAACACAGTCATTTTGAAATTACAATGTTACACTGTAAATGCACAAAGCATAAACATATATTAATGCTTTAGTCTGAATAATGATAAATATGAATAATAATATGATGATTACCGGTAGTTCTTTGTGCCAGCCATTACCCCTTCACTGTGCAAAAACGGATATCAAGACTTACCTCCTAAAAGAACCACATAAACATTGCATTGCTAATTGTACCACTCTCCTGCCCCATTCACTGACCCCAGCTCACCCTCCCATATGCTGCCGGGTCCTATAGAGGAAGAGCATTTGTACAACCTCTGAAACACTCAAGACAATCACATACAGCTCATGGTCTGTAAAAGCTCTCTGGTACATTACGAGACAGAACCAGGACTGACCTAGTACTAACCCAGGACTGAACCAAGGCTGGACTAGTGCAAGACTGAATCAGGACTAAATCAGTTCTGCATGGATCAGGACAGGACCAGGGCAAGACCAGGACAAAGCTAGAACTGAACCCCGTCTCAGTTAAACCAGGATTAAACCAGGACTATACCATGACTAAACCAGGACTAAACCAGGACTGAACCAAGAATAAACCAGTACTAAACCGGGACTAAACCAGGAAGCAACCAGGACTAAATAGGACCAAAAAAGGTCTGAACCAGGATTGAACTGGGACTGAACCAGGACTGAACCATGACTGAACCAAGACTACATCAGGACTAAATCAGGAAGCAACCAGGACTAAGTAGGCCTAAACCAGTTCTGAACTAGGACTGAAACAGGACTGAACCATGACTGAACCAAGACTACACCAGGACTACACCAGGACTAAACCAGGAAGCAACCAGGACTAAGTAGGCTTAAACCAGGTCTGAACTAGGACTAAAATAAGACTGAACCAGAACTTAACCGTGACTAAACCAGAACTAAACTAGGACTGAACCAGGACTATACTAGGACTGAAGCAAGACTAAACCAGAACTGAACCAGGAATGAACTAAGACTAAACCAGGACCAAACTAATACTAAACCAGGACTAAACCAGGAAACAACCAGGACTAAGATAGGCCTAAACAAGGTCTGAACCAGGACTGAAACGGCAATAAACCAAGATTGAACCATGACTGAACCAGGACTGAAGGAAGACTACATCAGGACTACACCAGGACTACACCAGAACTAAACCAAGTCTGAACCAGGACTGAACCGGGAATGAACTAAGACTAAACCAGGACTTTTCCAGGACGCCCCAGACTAAACAACCACATTTAACGTTAAAGTCTGAGAATATAAATTGCTTGTAAGTGTCAGACCAGGTTGTTTGAAAGAATAAAGTTATGTAACAAATGATAAAAATAATAAACAGATGTATACCCCTGAGCTGTATTCATTAATGTCATTTTAATCTAAGACTCTTGACAGATGACTCCATTATAACTTTAATGGCTTCTCTCAAATGAATTGAAGTTTGTGATGCTACAATTACATCAAATATAACATTGATGCAGTCATTTGTCAAATTTGTACCATTTGATTCTATAAATTCTTGTCTACTTAGAGTAAATTATTAGTGTCATTATCCTATAAATCCTGTCAGTCATAAGAAGGATAGTTGAAATATTTATTACGCTTCTGTTATCAAGGTCCATCAAGGAAAATGTTTGATGTTTTCTACACAGACAAAATCACCATATAAAAAGACCTATAATCATAGCGTTATTAAACCACATGTTATTTTCCCTATATTTTCAGCCTACTTATAGAAAATGTGTAATTAAGTAATGACCCTAACCCCCAGGACAAACAAGCAATAAGCAACAGAAAAATAACTGCATAGCCCGTGCACCACCGCTGAATTCTATTATAAGGTTGTATCCTGATATTTCAGTTTGTGAAAAAAAATGTCCTGTAGATACATTGGTATATTTGCAATTTTTTTTGTTTTTGCCTTTTTAGTTTAGCCTATTTATAGAAGATTAAGCAGGACTTCTTTGAACACAACTGCATAGATCTCTCAGTATACAGCCTAGCAATAGAATTAATCTGTAGACTAATACATGTGTGTTTGGATATAAATTGGTATTCTATATTTTTGTTTTTTGTTTACAGTATTGACTGATAATTATACAGGACTAAACAGGATCTCTCAGTATACAACCTAGAAAAAAGAATAAAGCTGAAGACCAGTGTTTCCCAGACTTTTTTTCTGGGGGTCCATATTTTAAAAGTCACAAACCTTCATTTTCCAAGTCAATACACTTTAATTGTAAATCACAAACTAAAGGTGGATTTGACCATTACTGAACATTAATGAGGATGTTTTATTGTTAAGTGAGTGATGGTTTCTCTCTCAACAATTAGTATTGCTCAAATTTTAAACTACAGTAATTGAAGCAGCAATAAAAGGATCCATAACTCATCTAACATTCAACTGAACCAGCAATATTGGAGCAAAATAGTCAATAAAATAAGTACAAATATATTAGAAATTGTACAAAACATGTCTTAACATTTCAATATTTCTAATGAGATAGGTGGACCTGTCTGCGCTTTTGTAGCACGTTCCAGTTCGGAGTGCAGGAGGAGAGCGCAACACGCATATCAGTGTCAGAACTGTATATCGCAGACCTACATGCAGATCGTGACAAGGCGACCCAAAAGAAATGTTTTTGTGACCCAGTCTTTGGGAAACAATGCTGTAGACTACATAATACATATACATTTCTAAATAAATGTCCTGTAGCTACATTTGTATTCAAATTGTTTTGTTTTTTGCCTATATATTTAGTCAATTAAATAAGACTACTTTGAACACAACAGCATAGCCTGTGCACCACAGTTTGAGAACCACTTGTATCATTGTTAGGCTATCTCTCAGTACAGCCTAGTAACAGAATCAATCTATAGCCTAATATACATGAGTTTCTAGATAAATATCCTGTAGTTACCTTGGTATTCTTTCCCCTAATACTGTATATTTAGTCTATCGATAAACAATTACACAAGTCTACTTTGAAAACAACAGCATAGCCCGTGCACCACAGTTTGAGAACCACTCGTATGGTGTATTATTAGGCTATCTCTCAGTACACAACCTAGTAATAGAATTCCTCTGTAGCCTAGTATATGTAAATAAATGTCCTGTAGTCACATTAGTATTCCTGTAAAGCCAGTGAGATCTAGAGGCAGCATCCAACTAACCAGGGTAAACCGTGTAGTGCGTAATTGGATCTTGGGGGGACTCCTGGAGCTGCAATACATGACTAGCCTATCTCTTTTCACTCTACCACCAGCTAGCGTTTACATTGTCCACGGTTAGCTCAGTGTAAGCCCTTTGCGGTGGAGTGAGCTAAGTGCGTAAAAGCCGCCAGATGCGTAATAGCCCGATGCGCTCTTCCTCACCTGAGCTGTCCATGGTGCTGCAGTCCTCCTCTCTCAGCGGGGTTGCTTTCGGTCCTAGGGTGGCCGCGATGGAGCCTCCGAGCCCGAGAACGCTGCCCCCGCCTCCGCTGCTGCCTCTGCCGATCCCGAAGCTATCCCCTCCGCTATCGACCAGCTGCAAAGATTCGTAACCGTCATAACTGCTCTTCTTTTTATAGGCCCCCAGCAAGCTCATAACCGATGCACAAACTCAAGACGACGCGAAGACGGGGAAAGCTACAGCGAATGCACGCACATGTCCGGTGTGTGTGTGTGAGTGAGTGTGTGAGTGTGTGTGTGTTAAGGCATGTATGGTCCGGTCCCGTGGCCTGCCCGCTGCCTCGCGTCCCTCTCCTGCCTGCTTATACTCGGTCTGCGCGCTCTCTCTCTGCCTCCTCTCTCCTCAACGCCGCATTTTACTACGGCGATGCTGCTGCTGCTCTAGCCAGACACTGTTAAAGGGAAAGCTTCACTCCAAAACAGACGTCGACTAAAATATTTTCGTCATTGTAACGTCAAATGTTTTGGTACGAGAACGAAATAAAATGTTTAATCCTGCTAATGAGCAAAACTATGTAGCTTAGCTGAATAGAAATATATTAAGTACAGATATTTTAAAGGGCCCATATTATCCTATTTTCTTTTCCTTATCAAGAACCTACCCGGTGTGGTTTTGTTTCATTCACACATCTTTAACACACAAACCCTGCATATTTACTGAGTTATCCTCCCAGAAAACACTCTTCCACCTTGTGATGTCATTTGGAAATTGCTGGGTTTCAGATGACTAGGGGTGTAACGATATCCAAGTCTCACGATACGATATCATCACAGTATGAACCTCACGGTACGATATTTATTCCGATATCGTGGGAAAGCTCACGATATGGTGGGGAGGCTCACGATCAGGGGTTGTAACAATATCAAAATATCTTGGTACGATATTTTCATGATATACATCGCACGGTACGATATTTATTGCGATATTTTGTGGAGACTAACAAAACTTTTAATATGCTACTTTTCCCCTTAAAATGCCTTGACAAGACTTAATCCAAAGCACTAAGACTTAAAAGTGCTTAGAAAAGTTATTTCTTCATGTAGTCTACACTGAAATGGAGCAAAGGATCATGGTCTATGTAGTTCCTTCTGTCTTTTTTTAGCTATTGCTGCACTATAACTTAAATTCAATATATTGTGATGGTCCAGGATATTATTGTGAGGACTCTGACGATACGATATCACGATATTTCGGTTGTTGTTACATCCCTACAGATGACATCACAAAATGCTATAAGCCAATAATATTTAATACAGATGGGGGGCAGGTAAACTTATTTATATTGTTCAACTGCAGATTTTTGTTGTAATATAGCATGGTCTTGGGTCTAGTCAATAATAGGAATGATCAGGTCTCACAGTAATAAAAGTCTCACAATAATATCGGGGGCTGTCACAATATATCGAATCACAAGTTCCTTTGCTTAAATGCATGGTTTTATAGTAGCAACAGCTTATAAACATGGGGAACTACATATCCCATGATTCATTTCAGTGCAGATAACATGAAGAGATATGTTTTATACTTGAATTCTTGGGATTATGACGGTAATAATTCTCACCAAAGTCTTGTCAAGGTATTTTAAAAGCAAAAAAAGTGTTCCATCTACATTTATGTCAACCTCTTCAAAATATCGCAATAAATATCGTACCGTGAGATGCATATCGTGATAATATTGTACCAGGAGATTTGAATATTGTTACATTGTTGTTCCCTAGAATTGACCAAAATACAATATAATTAATAGGAACAACTGACTCTTGCCCCCACTCTGGAAGAATGACATCACCACATTCTAGAATCTGCTAACCACCGATACCAGAAGTGCTTCACTGTGCTTTAAAACTCCACACACCTTCACTAGAAACATTAGGATCATTTCAGCATTTCAGGCTTGGAATTGCCAATCTCTGAACAAAAGGTAAAAGGTGCTGTTAACTTGAAAACTACCACTTCACAATATCACAAGATGGAACAATTGGAGTATTTTGAGTTTTGACAATGTAGACAGACTAATAATAATGGTTTGCTCAAACGTGCGTGAATGAAACAAAACACAACTCGAGGTAACAACATTCTAAAATGGCCTTAAGCTCAAGAGTCAATTTTGTGTAATTTGAGCTTTAATAAAAACTAAACATAGACTTAAATGAATGAAAAGAACGAGTGGAGAGACTTGATCCAAATTTCACTTTTCAGTCCCAAAGCCCAAACCAAACCATAACTCCAAATAAGAACTAATCTACATCTTTATATATCAGTAATAAAACAGGCTACAATTTATCACAGTTAAAAAAAAAATCTATTATGGACTTTGTTGACAGGGCTGTAGACTGGACTGAAAAGATCCCACACAGCATCAATGTGAGCCAGATCCAGGATCAGTCTAGTTACGTAGTTGACAAATTTTGATTCTTGTGAAAATGAACACCGCCAAAAACTGCTGGTGTGGTGTTGTGTTATGAAAGGAGTTTCAAGTCTGTCTAAATCAAATACAGTTGCGTTGGTAAGCTAACTCCCAACTATTACAAGTATCCAAGTATCCAGTTAGCTTGTAAACTGAGTATCCGATTTCATGACCAGTAAGATTGACATTTAAACCTGCCATTCTACCTACGGCCACTAGGGTCTGACACCTAAATATCTCACCTGTGTCTCTCATCCTTCTGTACAGGCTCCCAAAATAGCATATATGTACGTGGTGTTCATTTTACTGCCCTAAGATGGAGTCAGTATATAAGAGCCGGAGCAAATGTAGTTACAACACAGGAGGCCTCCACCAGCAAATGTTTAGTGTCAACATGGAAATACTTGCACAAAAAAGATCTTTCATTGATTGTGCTAATCAAAGCTTACAAAATGTCTTCTAGTTATGGATCATACAACTATTACTGAAATTCAGATGACCTCTATGGGTGTACAAAAATCTTGAAATGTCGTATATATCATATCGTTTAATGTGATGATACATTATCGCTGCTGCTGTATCGATATATCACCAAGAGTATTTTTTGGTATATTTTACTAAATTATTTTGTTACAGCTACAGTTTTGTTGCTTGTTTAGCTTAAGGAAACTCATTTGAGCAGCACATTTGACATTTTCACAGTTTTGCTGATTGAAATAGCTGTTTTTCATATGAACTTTGCACAAGAAATGGTTTAACAAGGACTTTTAGTATCACAGTCATGATTTGGCCTTTAGTTTTTATTGAACCATATCAAATCGTTTTGAAATATATCATCTCGAATCTAAAGCTCACTGTATCAAGATATGTATCATATTGTGACTTCTGTATCAAGGTATGTATCGTATCGGCAACTTCTTGATGATACCCAAACCTAATGGCCTCACAAAATTTTTTTTAGATATTTCATGTTTTTTGTTGTAACACAGCCTACTCTAGGAGATCGACTGATGTTTTTCTTTTTTCCTGACTGATACAGATTGATTAAAATCCAGAGAAACTATTGGCCGATACGCTCTGCCGATATTTCTGCATTGATATATAGAGCCAATTTTTATAATTCTCCCAAAGTTAAATTTACTGCTAACCCACTGACCTATTGTCTTTACCAGAAACCTGTGTAGTCACGTTTTGTGCAGTCATCTTTTCGCACTGAAGTGTTAATAATAAAATAGACCTGGAGACAATGTAATCAATAGGGAAAACTGACTCTTGTCCCCCATGTAGTGTAGAAGTGTAACATTATCCCATTCTGAAATCTGAAAACCACAAATAAAAACCCTGATTTCATTTTATTACTAAGAAAGTACAGTTAAAGGTGCACCACATAACTTTTTGGTTTGGTCCATCACCTGCTTGTTACTAGTATAGATATGTTATTGCTTTGCCTGGAATGTTGCACAGTGTGACATTAAACAGCTCTACCTTTCATTTAATCAATTACAGATGGTTTTATAGCTCAAAAATGCCTAGAAAAACAGGCATTCTGACTGTCAGCAGGGTCGCCTCTCCACAATTCTGACCTGTAACTTGGTCTGGTTTGGTCTCCATGATGATAAAAAGGTTTAATACCATACTGTGGAACATTCCAGAAAAAGCAATAACATCTCCATGTAGAAAAAACATTTAACAGACCCTCCATCACAAGTTACACAGTGCATCTTTAACGCAAATAGCTCTAAATCACATCTATTTCTGTGTCTATGATCAACCCAAACATGACCGACTGAGGGCATGCTTGCTTCTCCGGCCTCGTCCCTTGGCAACTGATCCCCGGCATGTTTCGGAAATGGGCACATGAGCCTGGGAAACCCTTTTGGGATGGCAGAAGGCAGCTCAAAGACCACAGGAAAGAGAGGGTCCAAAAGGGTGAAAAACGGATGCTTGGTTTGTTGCCACTCTTAGGCTTCCTGTGCCACCCATATTTACCACTTAAGGATCTTTCTCAGTGTCAGTGTTTAATGTAAATACCACTCAGTTCATACCCTGACAGTTCTGCGTATTGTAAAATAAAAAATGTCTACGAAGATGTGGTGGTCAAACAAGTTGTAAAGAGAAAAAGGTGAGACTTGTAATTGGTGGCATAGAGGTTAGTTCTTTTGCCACACAACTGTAGAATCACTGGTTAAATTTTTGTAATGATTGGAGGAATTGTGTGTGAAAAGTGCAGGGTAATACTCAGTGACAGAGTTAGCATTTGTGGGCCCTAGGGAAACCAGAGTTTGGGCCCTCATTATAATGCACTGTTTTGTTGGGGGGGTTGTATTTTTTTTATAAATAATATATATATATATATATATATATATATATATATATATATATATATATATATATATATATATATATATATATATATATATATATTATATTGTCTGTTTTTCCCATTGTTCATGAGGCACATACATCTTTATTTGAATTAGGGATTGGAAACTTGTCTTATTAGTTAAGGTTACCAGATAACCAGAGCTAAAAGTAGTTTTATTTTTTTGCCAGTACAATTTCATTAAATTTTTGTTTACATCCATTACATTTATGATTATGCTATGATTATCTTCAGATCAGGGTCAAGTTGACTTTCCATTCTAACATGAATGGGGGGAATGCTTTGACTGTTAACATAGATTTGACAATCAGATAATATTTTGATGGTGTTTTTTCTTGTTTAAAA